TGGAAACCCAGAGGTGAGGTGATATTTATTTTGCTCTGTATTTTCCTGTGCAAACTACGCAGCTATAAAGAGTCACCACGCCCAGCTTTGAGAAGAGACTGGTTCCTTCCCATCAGGCAGGCAGCAGAGTCTGCATGCTAAGGAGCGGTGCTCCAAGGGGCCGGCTCTTTCTACGCCGTCATTCCTTTAACCTGCACGCTCAGTAGTGAAAGGGCGGGGCAGAGAATGTGCCCTGTGGCCCTTCTGGGGAGTGGAGTGACACAGGCTGAGTTAGAAGCTGCAAGGCTGTACCAGTTCTTGCTCCTTTTACCAGCCTGGCAGACAGCGCAGGCCTACCCTGAACTAGAAGCCGACAGAAAACCCTGAAAGGGGACTATGCTCGCTTCGGCTCTTGAGGATGGTGTGTCACACATCCCACAGTCAGGCGTCAGGATTCCCCACTCCCTTAGCTCTCTGAGAGAAAAATCAGCTTTCCTTTTCCTTTGATGACTTCTTTGGGGAAATAATGACAGGGAAAGTCAAATTTGGGTGGAAATCTCTCTGGGAAAATCAGTGCTGGACTAGAGACAGCGCTCTCGCAGCAGACTCTGGCACGGAGACCATTCTTTCCACCCCACCCCTCCCCAGGTTCTAACTACTGCACAGACAGCACACCTGCAGACTCTCAGAGTGGGGGCAATAGCAGCTGAAGAACCATAATTCCCTGTGAGACCAAGAAGGGAACATGACAGGCTGACCGGCCTTCCTTCTATTACTGGTGCATAAAGTCATTTCCTAGCTTGACATGACCTGAGAGAGTTTCAGAGACCGCTCTTCGTGTGCAAAGACTGCAGAAGCCACTGTTCACTTCTATCCCTGGGTCTCTGGGCCATCTTTTCTGATGAAACAGGGAACTGTCAAGGCTGCAGTACAACTGAGGGGGTTTACTTCCTAAGACAGAATTTAGCAAAGGCTGAGCAGAGAACTTAGTAATGAGGCTATATGTTAACGGGACTAATGAGATCAGTCTATTAAAATCATTAGTTTCATTAAGAACTTGCCAAAGCCAGGTGATATCCCTATTTACCTCCCAAGAAGGATCCCTTCTAAGATCTACCAGAAAGCTCAAAGAAAACACTATTGGATTTTCACTTGGGCTTTCTTCCCCGCCTGATGGAAATCATTACTAAGCCATTCTAAAGAAGACAGGCTTTATAAAGGAACAGCTTCCCAGCTGTTGGCAACACTGCCCACATGGCAACATAACAGTGGGACAAGCATGCCAAGGTTAAAACTGAAAGTGGTAACACAAGGAAGAGGCAGCTCCAACCAATGCTGGCCAACAGCATAGACTATGCACTTTAATACACAGCACACCCTACCCAGCAAGGGCTGGGCAACACACGCTTCCTTGCTTAAAGATGCCATTTCTCCTTCATGCCAAACAAACAGTAACTCATTAGAGCAATTTAAACAACAGGTAACAGTGTTTTATTAAGGTCATGAATCTGGACAGACAGGAAAGCGATGGTGTTCAGGGCTATTGAGGGAAGAGTTAAACCAGGTGGAGAGAAAGGTACTTTTAATGTGGTGCTGGTTGGATTGCAACTTCCAAACCAACTTGCTACAAGAGGATTATGAGCCCACACCAAATGCACAGCTAAAGAGAAATGGATGTTTTCTTAGGATCCAGACCCACTTTCCTATAAGAAGCAACTAAAGAGAACAAAGTGCTCTCTGCTACACCTCCTTACTTCAAGAAGGTTATTTGACTCTGTGTGGCTAAGAGTTTATTTACACTTGAAAATGCTTCCAAACTCCTCTCAGAACACCTGGGAGAGAGTGATGCCAAGAAGCCCAGGATAATATTCCTTTCTTCTTTTCCCTGGCTAAATGTCAAGCTGCTGAGCTGGCAACATATACCTGTGAATAATGTAAAACGAACTACCTGCTTAAAAAGATGTGCTAACAAATCATCACATTGATCCAGCAAAGGAAGAAAACACAGGGTCCACACAGGAATAGTCAGTACTGTCTTTCTATTTCCTGAACTGTACCTGCAGGCAGGGGACCCTTCAACAGCCTGCAGAGGAGAACTGCACATGTAACTCGGGCGACAGCAGACTCAGCAGACACCGTCCAGGAGATGCCCAAGAGGAGCTGATACAGACACACTCTGAAAGGTGGAGGAGGATGGGCAAGGTAAAGCCATCATGAGTTTCAGATTCTTGGAAAGGTGACACTATGACCTTCCCGCAGACCCCTCCATTAACTATGTACGAAGCATTTGCTCCACTGCTAGGCGGGAACCACTGAGAGGCTGCCCCTCCTGTAGTGAGCTAGCCTGCAGATATGTAGCTGTGCTGCTTTGCCTGCCTTCTGCCTTGTTTTCTGCAACTCGAAGAAACCAACTGGTCTATTGTCACACACATATGAGACTGGCCAGCCCCGAATCTCCACTCTATACACACAACAGCAACAGTCAGTCCTGAGTCATGAAGCTGCTTCCAGAAAAGGTTAAAGCTATTTTGTAAAACTAAGGAAGTGTGCCAGGCTGGTCATCACACTTTACAGTCACAGTTTTAAAAGTTTAAAATGTCAATCACACTAGTTTCCTTAAAGGAACCTCAACTTTATATATTCACCATCCTTACCTGGGAGCTGTCCTCTTACTTTTTCAAAGACGTTACTTGACGGGAAAAGCCTAAAGATCCACCTAGCCCTAGATACTTACTCCCTAAGCACGCTCTCCCTTGTCCCTCATAGGCCACTTCATACCCAAGGGAACCTAAGCACCAGCAGTGTTTGGTTCTCTCCATTTACTGACCCTGCTCACATAAAGACTTTCTCTTCTACCCTGAAATCCACTCAGATTTGTTTTGTTTTGTTTATCTAGACAGGGTTACTCTGTGTAGCCTGGGATGTTCTGGAACAAAGAGATCCACTTGCCTCTAGACCTGGCTACCTCTCAGACTTCTTTCTTTTTTTGGTTTTTCGAGACAGGGTTTCTCTGTGTAACCCTGGCTGTCCTGGAATTAGCTCTTGTAAAGCAGGCTGGACTCAAACTCACAGAGATCCTCCTGCCTCTGCCTCCCGAGTGCCCTCTCAGACTTCTTTATAATTGTTTTTTGAGCATTGCTCAGGCTGGTCTCAAGCTGTTCATCTCACATGGTCTCTCTGGTATCAGCACCCCAAACAGACAGGAACCAGGCATATACAACCATGCTCAACACCACTGAGTCTCTGAAGGCAGCTGCACCTCCATATGCAAGGTCAGGAGAGTGTCCAGCCTAGACCACACAAACACCAAAGCTACTTGAGGCTCACCACCTGCTGGGCAGCTTCACTGCAACAGCTAGTGTGTAGCTGTCCTTCTGTGAGTCTACCACTAGAAAATGAACTAACACCCACAAAGGAAACATGGCATCCTTTTAGTCACCAATCAGTTACAACGTTTCATAGTCCAGTTTACCAGTGATCACCCAGCGTGCACAATGCAAGCCTGCTAGTGTACTGGGTTGAATATGTCTTCTTTCAACATTGCTGTCAGTTATAAACTGAAAAGGAATTTTATTTAGAAATAGGGTCTTGCCGGGTGTTGGTGAGGCACGCCTTTAATCCTAGCACTCAGGAGGCAGAGGCAGATGGATCTCTGTGAGTTCGAGGGCAGACTGGTCTACAGAGTGAGTTCCAGGCCAGCCTCCAAAACAATACAGAGAAACCCTGTCTCCAAAAGCCAAAAAAAAAAAAAAAAAAAAAAAAAAAGAAAGAAAGAAAGAAAAGAAATAGGGTCTTTGCAGACATAAGCAAGTCAAAATAAGGAAACACTAAAGTGGCATAAGTCCTAAACCAATGACTGCCTCCTAACAGGGAAATGTGGACACGGACACAGGAAGACAGAGGCAAAAACTAGAGACACGCGGTACCAAGAGCTGTCAGCGAGCCACCAGACACTACACAAGTAAGGGGGGGAGTGTCTTCCCAAGGGCCTTCACAAGGAGCATGACAACCTGTTGTGACCGCCAGAAGCGTGAGGGAAGAGAGCTCTGCTGAAAGCAGTGCAACATACTGGAGTTTTCTAGAGCAGCTCTCAGAAGCGAATGGAAGCACAGTATAGTGGCACACATTTAATCGCATAACTGAGGAGGCAGAGGCAGGTGGATCTCTGTGACTTTCCGGCCAGCCTGGTTTACAGAGAGAGTTCTAGGACAGCCAGAATTACATAGTGAGACCCGTTTCAAAAAAAAAAAAAAAAGGAGAGGCGGGGGAGGAGAAGAGATGAGAAAAAAGAAAAAAAAAGAAGTGAATGGTGACTTGTCAGAGTACTTTTAATTGCCTGGTATATGAAGTGAACTCAGTCCACCATGTTAAAAATCACAGGCAAAGCATCTTCCAACCAGACCAACCAAATCTTTGAGCTGAGTATAGACAGCAATAAGAGCATTGCTCCACCACACTGATTTTTGTTTTTTGTTTTTTTTTTAGATTTATTTATTTCTGTATACAGTGTAGAAGATGGCACCAGATTGCATTATAGAAGGTTGTGAGCCACCATGTGGGTCCTGGGAATTGAACTCAGGACCTCTGGAAGACCAGCCAGTTGCTCTTAACTGCTGAGCGTCTCTCCAGTCCTATAGCTGGTTTCTAATTACAATTGCAGGAACTGAGAAAACTGTACAAGAGAACCAGAGTCAGACAAGGTAGCTGCACCCCACATCTACAAAGGAGCCCCAAAGTTATTAATAGCTATTAAAACCATAGCACTCAATGTTGCCACTTCTACCTGACTTAAGCAGAGACAACATCACCTGCTATAGGACCAGGGACAGAGCTAAGGCCCACACACCCTTTTTTAAAATTTAAAACAACTTTCCCTACTCTTAGCAGGAGAACAGTAGCGCATTTCTGTCAAATTTGCTCACTTTGCCCAAGGAGCAGTGAAGTACAGCCTGCTCAGTCCGAGCACTGAGGATCCAAACGAGCAGACGGCCAGTGTCCTCATCAAACTCAGGCCAACATACCTTTTGCTTCATGATTGACAGAGGAGGGAGGCTCATCGTCAGATGTGGAGCTGAGGTGCCGGGTAAATTCCCCGATTCGCTTCTGTTTCTTGAGGGGGGCAGTGCATTCTGGCTCGGTCCTCCTCTTCATCGTTACTACAACCATAAATCCCGTCAGTCAGCTCTTGGGTTAGAACTACCAGGAATGAAGCAAGGATCCCACAGTACCAACCACCACCTGCAGGATGCCAAAGGGCCGACACTTGAATGGCCTCTTCCTCCAAGTAAGGTCTAGGAAGGAGGCTAGCCAAGCCCTGCTTTTCAGTAACATCAGTTAGTTTTACTAGGAAACCAGGCCATCTCAGATTTAGAGACCCCAGGGGCCATTGGTATCAGATATCAAAAAGATTAATTCAACAAGACACAGGAGGAAAAATGGCCTTTGAGTACTTGTTAATTTATACTTTTGAGACAATAGTGGCTATTCATGACAGAGTGTGCTGGAAACAAATTATAAAACCTACTAGGTAATAGCCACAGTATTTCCAAGGACCACCACAGAATTATTTTTTTCAACATTTTTGCCAGAACAATCAAGATATTATGTGATATGACAAAAATGCTGGGATTTGGTTTATTTCATGTTTTGAAATATGAAAGTACTAACTTAAGGCATGGAAGCACCAGCTGGGCTACCATCAAGAGTGGGAAAGACTCTGGAACAACAGGCAGTTGTAGTACTGGGAAACCCATTAATTTTTCCTTTCCAAAAAATTTTTTTTGGTTTTTCCAGACAGGGTTTCTCTGTATTGCCTTGGAGGCTGTCCTGGAACTTGTTCTGTTGTAGACCAGGCTGGCCTCGAACTCAAAGAGATCCCCCTGCCTCTGCCTCCCGTGTGCTGGGGCTAAAGGCGTGTGCCACCAGTGCCCGGCTGACATTAATTTGAAGGGCAGAAATTCCCCTCCATGATAAGGAATGCTGGGCTGGCTGTGGTTGGTGTACGACTGTGTCTCAGCACTCTGGAGTCTGAGTTTGGGAGAACGTGAGTAAAACACCACGGGCGCCCTGTCCTGAAAGGCCCTGGGTTCTGGCCCAGCACTGCAAGTGGGAAATAAAAGAACATGAAGTCACAACAGCCAGTGCCATGATGGCTATGAAAAGGTACACGGGAAGAAAACATTAAAAAAGCAACTGGATGGGGAGCTGGAGAGGTCCTGAATTCAACTCCGGGCACTCACACTGGACACACGGCTCTCAACTACCTGTAGCTCTAGCTCCAGGGAAACAAAACAGTGACTGACTCTGCAGGCACCCGCGCGCACATGAGCACAACTTAAACTAATCATCTTTACAAAAATGGAAGGAATGGTAATTAAGAGATCTTCAGGAAGGGAGAGAAGACTTAGAGGTATGCTGACATCTTCGGGGAGTGGGGAGCACGAGGGTACAAGAATGGACGTCTCCCATGTTGTCAGACACGCGGTGGTTTAGAGACCATGTTTTCACTGTGAATCCACTACTCAGCATTGTCATATAAAGTTAGAGCCATTACCAGCGGGGCGGTGGCGGCGCACGCCTTTAATCCCAGCACTTGGGAGGCAGAGGCAGGCAGATCTCTGTGAGTTCGAGGCCAGCTTGGTCTACAAAGTTACACAGAGAAACCCTGTCTCAAAACAAACCCCAAAAATAAAAATAAAAAAGCTCTAAAAATTAGAGCTCGAAAAAATAATGTTTCTAGCAACAGCAGCAGAAAGTAATGGGATTTGAAGGGGGTTAGTGATCCCTTCCCCGACATGGATCCCGTTTATTTCCGTGCCCACGGATGACCCTGTTGCCCCTCTGTACCACCACCCCTGTCTCGGGAGGCGATTTCTTAAGGGACACAGGCAGCGCCTAAGCAGAGGAAAGCAGGAAGATGTGGGGGCTAAAACAGAAAGCAAGGCCTCCCGAGCAGGTGAGCCGTGGGAAAGCTCCTCACAGCCTTCGCCTGGCGGCTGCACGTCAAGAGGAGACTCCTGTTAAACTCTCAAGCCGTCCTGGGGGGAGGGAGGGGTGGAGAACTCGGCGTGGGATGCGCTGGGGGCCGGTGCGAGCGGAGGAAGCCGCGCTGTGGAAGGCAGGGCGGCAGATACGAGCGTCTCCTCCCGCGCCGCGCCTTCGACGGGGACCTCGCGGGAAACCCACTCCAACCCTCTGCTGCCCGCCGCGGGGGGAAGGCCACAGAGCCACCGAGTGACCTACGGAGGCAGGCGCGCCGCGACCAGGCGCTTCTTCTCCGTGCACGGCCCCGAGGCCCGCTCGGGCTCACGCGCGCCGTCCGCAGAGGGACAAGGGAGGCAACGCCAGCTCCCCCGGCCGAGCTCCTCGCCTGGGGACGTCAGGTGTGGGAGGGGACTGTGTGCGCAGCAGACGCGGCCGGGGCTCCGGGAGGTAGCGGGGAGGAGAGGGGGGCAGGAGCGGAGAGAAGCTACCAGAAGGCGGGCAGAGTCGCCACCGCCGCCGCCGGGGAAGGAGGGATGCTGTGCCCGCCCGCCTGCCCGCCCGCCCAGCTCGCCCGCTCGCTCGCTCCCCCCGGGCCGCGCGCCGGCACTCACGCTGAGGGGATGGGACGGGCGGAGACCAGGGGAGTCAGTCTGCCTCTATCGCCGCCCGGCCCAGCACGGCGACCTCCTCCACCCTCACTTTCGTTTCCTCTCAGGGCCGGCCGGCTGCGCGGTCGCGCTCCGATCCCGCCCTGCGGGTGGCGCCGCTTAATAACGTCACGAGCCCGCCAGCCACGCCCCCGCCGGGTTCAGGCTGGGGCCCTGGGAAAAGGCCGGGTCATGCAGGTCTCGGGGCTCCAGGCGCCTGCGCGGAAAGGGCGGACCGGAAAGACCTTAGCAAAGAAAAGCCCGGCGTGATGTGTGCAGAAGTATGGCTCTGGACACCTGCAACAAGCAAGCGTCGTTTGCAGAAGTGGGCAGACAGCAATTAAACCAGGCGGCTAACCTCTAAGTCGTGGCCGCTTTGCATAGGAATTTAAGGCTCTAAGGGACCAGAAACCAGATTTTACCCAAGATAGTTTTAGCAATTAAAGGATTCCTAGGAACCGGGCGGTGGTGGCACACCTTTGATCACAGCACCCGGGAGGCAGAGGCAGGCGGATCTCTGTGACTCCGAGGCCAGTCCAGTCTACGGAGCGAGCTCCAGATCAGTCAGAGGTACATAGTGAGACCCTCCCCGCCCCCCCCCCCAAAAGTATTCTTAGGAAAGATTTCGCGAGATGGCATGTAGTTCAGTAGCTCACTACAGTCTCGTCTTCATTATATAGCTTAAAATCAGGAAAAAAAAAAGAACAAAATCAGAGAAACTGTAAACTGGCCAAAGTCTGAGGTCATTGTTTTAATTACACAGGACACACTTAAAAAGGACAGTGGACTAAGAGTAGCCTAGCATCAGAAGTGTTTGCCTGTTGCACACCAGGTCCTAGGTTCGATTCCCAATACCTCAGACAAAAAGAAGGAATGCCACCTGTGGAGTTTGACCATGTGGACAGAGAGGGACTGTCATCTCTAATGCCCCCTCCCCATTTCAGACTAATGTAACTTTGTAGGACGCTCTTCAGCTGCATCCGTCTCAAATCCTATGAATTCAAATGTCACCATATGTTCTCCCATAATGCTTTTTTTAAAGGTTTTATTTTTATTATGACCTACACGTATGCATGTATGTGCACCACATGCATGCAGTGCCTGTGTTGGCCAGAAGAGGATGTCAGATTCCCAGGAACTGGAAATACGGGTGGTTGTGGGTGCTGGAGTTGAACCCAGGTCCTCTGGAAGCGCAGTGAGTGCTCTTAACTCCTGAGCCATCTCTCCAGCCCTTTCCCAGGTGGCCGGCACTATATGGCCCATCCTGTTCATTCAACCAGAGGTCTGATGAGTTTCCCTTTTCATTTCCGATAAGCTTAAGACTTGAGTTCACCTTCTACTTGTCTGGTAAACATCTCCTGCCCTTTCATGCATCCCTATAACCACCCCAATCTCCATCTTTCCCCTCCCCACCCCTGCAAAGCTTTTGCAGTAATCTCCACATTATGATGTCTGTGTCAGTCAAGATGTTTCTAATTCATCCTCCTTGAAACTAAAGTGCGCTGTTTTTGTATTATTATGTATGATCCTACGACAACCTATCGGTGGTTAAAACCTGCTATTGGCGCCGAATGGCGCACGCCTTTAATCCCAGCACTCGGGAGGCAGAGGCAGGCGGATCTCTGAGTTAAAGGCCAGCCTGGTCTACAGAGCTACACAAAGAAACCCTGTCTCAAAACAAAAACAAAAACAAAAAAACAACAACAACAACAAAAAGCCTATTAGGATAGCATTAATATTCTCTGGGTGACCTTAAAGATGCCCCCAGCATTGTTCTACAAGTCTCTCTACTTCTCATCATCCAGGTCTGGTCCTTCTCAAATACGGTGCATCTCTAAGGGGTCCTCTCCCTGCCTGGACCATTCCTCCTCTTGATGCTAATGTCCACTTACCGCTCAGGTCTGGGTTTGGAGTGCTCCTTTTGGAAACTTCTCCTGACTTCACAAAAGTAATTATCACCACCTCTGCTTTAGGGAAGCAATGGGGCACCAGGTGGCTCTCAAAAGTCTCGGTTACTAGACTTGACAGCAAGCCCAGAACCCTCAGAGCCATTGCACAGACTCTTGAAGAGTCTTAGAACAAATAGTCAAGGTCAGCTGAGAAACAGGATATAAAAATAAGTGGCTTGAGAAATTAACCATTGGAAAACACAGTAGCTGCTAGGTGTGGTGGCTCATGCCTTTAATCCTAGCATTTGGGAGGCGGAGGCAGAGGCAGGTGGATCTGAGTTCTAGTCCAGCCTGATCTACATAGTTGAGTTCTAGGCCAGCAAGAAGAGAGAGAGAGAAAAAAGGAAACAATAATAAAGACTATTTTACAAGATGGGCTCAATAGCAGAAGAGAGATGATAGAAGAGTCGAAAAACTTCATCAATGAAGAGTATTGTTAGAAAACACTTTTGATGAGCCCGGCGTTGGTGGCTCACACCTCTAATCCCAGCATTCAGGAGGCAGAGACAAGCAGATCACTGTGAGTTCAAGGCCAGCCTGGTCTATCTACAGAGTGCGTTTTAGGAGTCAGGGCTACACAGAGATGCTGTGTCTGGAAAAACCAAAACGGAAGGGAGGGAGGGAGAGAGGGAGGGAGGGAGGGAGGGAGGGAGGGAGGGAGGGAGGGAGGGAGAGGGAGGGAGGGAGGGAGGGAGGGAGGGAGGGAGGGAGGGAGAGAAAAATATTCTAGAGTGAGACAGCATTCCAGGCTGAAGATGGTTTTGGAAGCCTCCACCAACAACAGGAGAAGCTGTATTGGTCATCTGAAAATGGAGAAATGACACAGTTGGCGATTATCCAAGTTTGCTTTACATGGGCTGGTTTTGAACCCTTCAGTCTGACTGGCTGAGGATTTGGTTGCTCTGATTGGCTGAGATCAGTTCCTTGGTTGCTATGGCAGGTTTCACCACATAATATGCATCAAGGTAAGTTACAATTAACTATGCATAGCCGGGCGTTGGTGTTGCACGCCTTTAATCCCAGCACTTGAGAGGCAGAGGCAGGTGGATCTCTGTGAATTCGAGGCCAGCCTGGTCTACAGAGTGAGTTCCAGGACAACCTCCAAAACAATACAGAGAAACCCTGTCTAGAAAAACCAAAAAACAAAACAAAAAACTTCTAGGGTTTTTTTTGTTTGTTTTTGTTTTTATTAAAGCGAAAATAATCCTCTCTCAAGAAATACAATAATCCTCCAGGATCTTTGTAGATCCGCTGCATTTCTTTCCTCTGAAGATTAAGAATTCACTGTCAGTTGAGTCGATATCTTTAAGAACTTTGAATCCCTTTATATAAGAATGAAGTGGGTTGCTTGTGTAACCATGATTCAACTTAAGAAGCCATCAAGGTGGAAACTGCTTTGAAGACTTCTGAGGTGTTCCAGATATTTCCAGAATTTTCAAAGAAAAATGGCAGAACTGTACATTAAAAGCGCATGTTTTCCGGCTTCTTCCTTATGGACCCCTTGGCAGAGGATGCTTTAATTCTTTCAGCAGCACCCATAATCTTGACTTCGTAACACTGAATTGAAAGGTTAGACTCAGACTCATGGTTAAAAGACTCTTCCAGAGAAGCCAACACATCGATAAAACTCCCTTTCTAATAGTGTCCGTGGAGTGAATTTTCTTTTTCTTTCATTCTCTTTTATTTCAGTTAAAGTAAATATGTCTGCCTTCTGCCCAGGAAAGTGCTTCAAGACATATTTTCTCGACGGCCTGCAGACTTCTGCGTGGCACAAAAGCAATTTGTGTTTTCTTCTACTGGCTTTTCAAAGGCTGTTTAAATGTGTTTGCTTCACTCAGAAATCTGCTTGGCTGATAACATTTAAGGCTGTTGACAAAACTTCTTTTGCGGGCTTGTTAGAAGAGTCTTTGCTGTTGGTGCACGTTTGTGAAAAAATATACATATATATATACATATACACATATATATGTATATATAAAATATATAGGTATATAAGCAGTTTTCCTCATTAAATTGGCCCCATTAGATACCTCACCAGGCACGGCAGTGGTCCATCTGTGCAGGCTGGCAAGGGTTTCTTTCTAAAATTTATTTGGCAGGAAATAAAAAATCCTTTTTACTATTTCCAAACTGTTCAAAGCCTTTGTAGTTTACAAAAGGATGCACAAAACAGGAATTCTTTGATGGCTTTAGTGTGCACACAAGAAAGGAGGGAGCCGATGACATGAAGAGAACACGCAACTTTACTGAGATGCCCTTTCCAGCTGGGGGGCCGACAAGCACATTCAATGAAAACTCTCTCTCTCTCTCTCTCTCTCACACACACACACACACACACTTTTTTGTAGTTGTTTTTTTTTTTTTTTTTTTTGGTTTTTCAAGACAGAGTTTTTCTGTGGTAGCTTCGCCTGTCCTGTAACTTGCTCTGTAGACCAGGCTGGCCTTGAACTCAGGGATCTGCCTGCCTCTGCTAGCCAGGTGTGAGATGCTAGCTCTGGGTGTGTGGGAAATGTGAAGAAAACGCTCTGCACTGTAAGTTAGCTCCATGGAAAGCCTGTAGAACAAGCAAGGCTTTGTGACCTGCCTTTGACTATGGACCCTGTGCTAGAAAGTCAGCCCCGCCAACCCACAATTACCATGTGTTTTAAGACTTCAACAGCTAAGCCAGGTGGTGGTGGCACAAGCTGTTAAGCCCAAGAAATCCACCTGCCTCTGCCTCCCGAGTGCTGGGAGTAACGGTGTGCGCCCGGCCTGGCTAATGGCTTTTACAGAGGACCCAGATTCAGTTCCTAGCACCCACACAGCAGTTAACATCTGCACGTAACTCCACTTCAGGTGATCTGACACCTTCTTCTGGCCTTCTTAGGCCCCTACAAGCAGGTGGCACACATAAACGTACAAAGTTGAGTGCACACATACCACACATACACACAAGTGAAAGTAAGAATTCAGCAACTATGATTGAATTGCATTTATTAGAAGGCCATTATGTAACGACAACAACAAAACCCAACAGGCCAGTTTCAGGCATTCACAGGCCAGTTTCAGGCATTCACAGGCCAGTTTCAGGCATTCACAGGCCAGTTTCAGGCATTCACAGGCCAGTTTCAGGCATTCACAGGCCAGTTTCAGGCATTCACAGGCCAGTTTCAGGCATTCACAGCGCTCAAAGCTGAGATCAGGGCTGAAGGTTGAACCTGAGGTAAGGCTCTAGAATTTGACGGAACAGCAGCAAACAGGAAATGCTTTGGAGACTACTTGTGCTCAGGGAGCCCGTCATGGAGGGATGGCTGGCCCATGGGTGCTATGACCGTCAAACACACCGTCTGAGTGTCCGCTGAGCATCTACTGGAAGCCCAGACTGTCGCTGTGACCAGCAGGCTTCTCTGCACTCTAGCACGGCTGAACAAGAGTTTGTTATTTCTCATCCACAAGGCAGTATCTTATTCAGAGAAGCCGCCCGCTCCTACTGCAACTCCCGTTTGCAAAATAAATAAGAGAAAAATTCATAAAAATAAAATTTAGCAAAGCAAGCTTTTTTTTTCCCTCTGAGTGAAGCTTAAGAGTATTCAGAACAAGGCATTGGCCTGCTGTGGTCAGGGGCAGCACGCCACTCAGATCCGGCCCCACGCCTCCTAACAAGACTGTAGCTCTGGGCGAGAGATTCCCAGGGCCTGCTCATCTGAGCTTGCTTCTTAGAGGAAGACCACAGTGGGAGTTAGAGATCCTCTTGATTTCTGGATCAAATGCAAATCCTGGGATTCATCAGCGGCCTGCTAGAACGGACACCATCTGAGCACCCCGGGAAGCCCCGCAGATGAAGGGCGGATGGTCTGGCTGCAGGCTAAGGCTGTGAAAAGCAAATGAGCAGTTGGGAGACAGCCACCCTGTCTAAGCACTGCTGTAGTTATGTTGACTCCTGGGGTCATGGCGGCTGTAGTCACACGGTCACTCTCAGAGAAAAATAGTGGAGAGAGAGAGACTCCAACTAATGAGGGAATTTGAGGGTTTTTCTTTTTCTTTCCTTTTTTTAAAAACAACAGTGGCTTCCAATCAGAAAACCAGAGGATAGATGTCCAGCTAGCCCACACACAAAGGGCACAGTCTCCTGCCTTGACAGTCTGTTTGCTGGGATGAGGCAAGCCTAAGGGGCAGGGTTGAGCGAGCCTTTTCTACACTAATGTAGCCAGGAGGATACGGGACACCTGGCCGTCACTGCATGGCTGGCTGCATTTGTCTGCTCGGTAAAGCCCAAATGTGGGACAATCCCTCTTCACCAGTTTCTCGGCATGCTGGTGGAGTTTAAGTGACTCTACTAAGTCACGCTAACGCTACAGAGTGAGTTCCAGGACAGCACGGTTACGTAGAGACCTCGTCTCAAGACAAATTAAAAAACAAGGACAACTTAGGCTGGCCTCTGGAAAACACTCAACACATTTGCACTCTGACCTCCTACCCAAAGAATTTTCAAAGAATGGTTCTCCAGGCAGATGGGAATCAAGTCACCACACGATGTAACCGTCGGGCATTCCTACTACAGGAACAGGCTTCCTCGCATTCTCGTGACACATTAAACTGGCACACAGGTGTGACCTCAGCACTCAGGAGGCAGAGGGAGGAGGACACAAAGGACGAGGTCTCCCTCAGTCACACAAAGTTTGGGGCCAGACTGCGCTACATGAAACAGTCTCAACGGTTTAAAAAAAAAATGTGTGGAAAAGACGGCAGGCAAGGCAAAACGGAATGAACCTCACCTTTTAAACGAAGAGGAGGATGTGTCTAGATCTGGTTAAGTCACTGCTTGTTCTTGAAGCTAAGGAAGGGAGCTGCAAACACCCTCTGAATGGCACCTGCATGACAGAGCTCCCCCAACAGGGAAAGCAGCGACACCCTCAGAATGGAAACAGGGTACCCAAAGCCCACCATGGGGACCATGAACTGGAGCTGTCGGGCTGACGCCTGCTGGCAGGCTAGCTCGTGGGCAGCCACTCTCCTGGCTGCAGGCTGTGAGCTGCCAGTGTTTACCTGGGAGACTGTCTGGGAGCCGGAAGCAAATACGCTGGAGCCCAGAGGAGCAATGGCGGGTTTTATGTTTTATTTCCAAGAAATGACATCTTGTTTTCACAAAGAAAAGGTAAACCAGACTCAAAATGCAAGCTGCCTTCAACAGGGGGGGAGGAGGGAGGGAATGAGGTATCAAAAATAATCAACAAATTAAGAAACAACAGAACTCAACTCATTTATCACGTAGTGAAGCGGTCAGTGCGGAGTCCCAGAGATACTCGAGACGGACGGCGTCAGGAGGGCTGCGGAGCCTGCGACACAGGCTTCCTACTCAGTCTCTGCGACACATGGCTCCCAGATGATGTCCAGGGCGGCCCGAGGGAATCCTCTAGGCCACTCCAAGGTGCCATGCCCCTAGGGTCTCTCCCATGTCCTTGGAGCGTGACCTTCATGACAGTCTCCTTGCTTTGGAGAGAAAGACAGACATGTGAAGGAGGCAGCCGCGCTCCACCCCCTCGCATCCCCCTTCCATCTCTGCCGCCTTCGCTGCTTCTCCACACCACCGAGAGAGAGAGAGAGAGAGAGAGAGAGAGAGAGAGAGAGAGAGAGAGAGAGAGAGAGAGAGAGACAGTGAGCCAGCTCATGTCACAGCTTGCAGCTTGGTCCTGGTTGACGCTGGGCTGCGAGCTGATGGCATTGCCCCAGCAGCCTCCAGCAGCAAGAGGAGCCCACCTGGGACAGCAAGTTGTCACCGTCAAGACCGACAGGCTCAGGAGAGCCAGCGCCTCTCCAGCGCCAGACCACGCGAGGTGGACTGAAATGTGAGGTAGACAGGCAGGCAGGGGCGGCCCAGCACCTCTCCTTGGCCACGGCACGGATCTCCCAGACACAACTGCTCCTGGGTGTGGTGGGAAAGGAGGGGCAGCGCTTGGGAAGGCTATTCTCATCCCGGGTGTTACAGACAGTAGGTCCTGGTGACGAGGCACCGACATCTCAGGACAGAGCTAAGTTAGAGAACGGCTTTATACCTCCCCGGAAGAAGGCAGCTTCGGCAACCACGGGGCACAGACTCGGTAAGAGGGCAGCGGTGCTAGGACTTGCTGGGTCACTACTTCATAGAGTCCAATTAACCCCAGTGCTGACCGCCACTAACCCTGCCGCGATGCCACTGTCATTTCCCTGAACGGATGCATGCACGACTCGTTCCTTAGCTGTCCACCTAGTGCTTTGAGACAGTCTCTCATTATGGCCTGGGGTCTACTGAGGAAGCCGCCAGCAAGTGTCAAGAACACGCCTGTCCCCACTACCCCAACACTGGGGTTTTAGGTGCCACCAGGTTCAGTTTTTTAAGTGGCTCAGGAATCAAACTCAGGTCCTCAGGCTGGTAGCACCTCACCAGCAGCCACCTCCCCTCCTTTGTCATCATCGTCGTCGCTGTTGTCTCAAGCTGTGTTCTGAGTCACCGATTACGGATGAAAAGGGAAACAAACACATGACGAGGAAAACAACAACAGAAGACGGGAGGGGGAGGGGGAGCAGCAATGGAGAAACAAGAGTGATAATTCTAGTCATGGCCATTCACTGCCAACCTGGGACAGTCTTGCAAAACAAATTTTTAAAAATCAAAAACTTAGCTGGGTGTTGGTGGCATGCACCTTTAATCCCAGCACTCGGGAGGCAGAGGCGGGTGGATCTCTGTGAGTTCGAGACCAGCCTGGTCTACAGAGTGAGTTCCAGGACAGCCTCCAAAACAATACAGAGAAACCCTGCCTCGAAAAATAAAACAAAATAAAAATAAAAAACTTATAGCTAGGCATGGTGCCACTAGGGAGGCAGAGGCAGAGGCAGAAGCAGGTGGGATCTCTGTGAGTTTGAGGTTAGCTTGGTCTGCATAGCAGACTCTGCGTCAATAAATAAATAATCCAAGTGCGCCACTGCGCACTCTCTGAGGGCACCCTTGCCGAGCCATTTTCCTACAGACAACAGCTACACGCCGAGGACAGGGCGGGGTCACACCTGCTGTCTCATACTTACTTGCTAGGTGTCACCCGACTGCTACCACCCCCCCCCCAAGGTGACATCAGAAAGGCTTCCAGAGGAGCGGACAGACCTCTGCAGGGCCCAGGACCCGGCCAGTTCCTCTGGACCGCCTTCCTCTTGGCTGGCTGAGGTGGCTGAAGTCACAGGCTTGGTGGGCCCCCATCTCACAGATTCCCAGTGCCTTCTCTACCACACACCCCCATGAGGAGCTTCAGTTTAGCATCACAACACCGAGGGATCGTATTAGAGGAGACGGAGGAGCACTCAGGACACGGGCTCTTCTAGAACATGACACACGCTGGACAAACTGAACTCTCATAGGTGTCCCCTCCCTGACACAGACAACGCATGCCAGTTCACAGGTCACAACCTGGTCCTGACTGAACCTGGCTCCAGACACTGTTCCTCTCTGAAAGGGAAGCAAGATGACAAAAACAAGCTTCCCCGTCTACCCGCCCACCAGCAGACCCTCCCAGTCTTGGCTGTTCTGCAAGTTGCATCCCGTGTCTTCTGCTGAGCATCCAGGAAGCCTTGAAGCTCGGTCCAAACATCGCTTCCTTAACAGGATCCACTCATGTCCGCCTGCCCAGGCCAGCGGAAGCAGTTCTTCCGGTGAAGCCGCTCAGGGTGGGCATTGCTCTCCACCCCAGGGCTAGTATAACGTTCCTATGGGATGACAAGCGGAAATGGAGAGCAATGGGGTTCTGCCAGAATCAAGGGCAGAGGTAAAGCCTGTGGGGGCTCTACACACTGGGCACAGAACACTCCAGCAGGTGTCAGGGAAGCGACACCTTCCTGGACAGTGGCTGGCGGGACACGCTTCCGCACCGCCGGTTCTATGATGCGCTTGCTGCCTGCCCGGTTTCAGAGCAAGGCTGCCTATCGGTCTGCAGCAGATTCCTGTCCCCTACTAGAAATACTTGATGCCTGCAGTAGGGCTAGGAGAGAAGAAAGCTGCAAACAGAACACCCAATTCTTGCTGATAGCATCTGGCCTTTTAGGCTGCCCAGCATCACTGGACTTAGTGCAACCAAGCCACACACCCTGGCCGGGTGGCAGTTAAGGATGGCAGCTCCTCCTTCACTTCCAATTCTCAGAAGGTGGTGATGGCACATGACAGACACACGCCTCTGCTCCGCCTTTTGCACAACGGATCTCTACCCAGCAATCGAAGCATCCTCCCCAGTAGCCTCCTGGATTTGCTCTAAGAGTCTCTTCGGCGGCAACACCATCAAGAGAAGTGTATCCCTGCAGGTCTTGGCACGGCAAGCCCCAAGTGTGGCATGATCACTTAAATCAGTGGTTCTCAACCTATGGGTCTCGACCCCAAGAGACTATTGAAAAATACAGATGTTATGATCCATAACAGTAGCAAAACTGCAGTTATGAAGTAGCATCAAAAATAATTATTCTACGGTTGTGGGGTCACCACAACATGAGGAACTGTATTGAAGGGTCACAGTATTAGGAAGGCTGAGAAACACTGACTTAAATACACGAACATCTATCTCCCAATCTTTTCAAAGTCCTTTACCCAGAAGACCCACAAGACAGAACGGGTGTGTGCATATGGAACAGTACTGGGGACGGAGCCTGGGGCTTTGTGGATGCTGGGAAGAGCTGCTGAGCTGCCCCAGCCGTAAGCCACGGCTCTTACAAACGAGCTTGTCCGTGTTTCCCAGGTATTTTCTAAGCCGCGACTGACTTACACACATCTTATTTATAGTCTGTCAACGCGAGTGGCAGGATCAAGCTGTGTTCAGCAACAGCACCATCTGGTGGTCCATATGGCAAACCAAATGACTGTGTTTCTAGTCACAGCTCTTTTACTGCCCTCCAGGATCAGGGTATACATAGCTAAGCTTCCCACCTGGGGAGGCTCCAACTCCAGAGGTCAGTTCTAGTTCAGCCCTTCCCTATGCGGCTGCCTCAGCTCCCTTTACACTCCCACCTCTCCTGCCTGTCCTCAACTCAGAAATCATTGACTACATTCTAATCCCCAACTTCACCCCTTAAAATGCCCAACGAGGTTCCGAAATACTTGAGTCCTTTGTTGAGGAGGAGGAGTTCTCAAAACCCACTTACCTTTCCGTTCCCTGAGAAGGATACTCCGGCGTTCTCTCACTTCTGAGCTCAGATTATCCACCATCTTATTAATGCAATTGTCCAGAACCAGGGAGTGGGTTCTGGACTCAATATCCTTTCGACAAATGGGACACTCTAGTTTCCGTTTCATCCATTCACTGATACAGAAGGAGCAGAAACTGTGGGCACAGTTCAGGGTGACAGCCTACAGTGTGAAAGGGACACAAGGACACTTGTCATTCTACTTTCTCAAAGCCAGAACAGGAGCAAATCTCCAAGGCCAAAGGAAAGTTCACCAGCCCGGTCCTACAAACACGCTCTGGGATGCTGAGCAGTGTGGCGCACACCTTTAATCCCAGCACTCGGGAGGCAGACGCAGACGGATCTCTGTGAGTTCAAGGCCAGCCTGGTCTACAAAAGCTAGTTCCAATACAGCCTCCAAAGTCACAGAGAAACCTTGTCTCGAAACACCAAAAAAGAAAAAAAAAAGAAAGAAAAAGAAAAACAAACAAAAAAGATGTCCACTCCCTCGTTTCTTCCTTCCTTCCTTTCTTTCTTTCTTTTTTTTTTTTTTTTTGGTTTTTACGAGACAGAGTTTCTCTGTGTTGTTTGAGGCTATTGGTCCAGCCTGGCCTCAAACTCACAGAGATCTGCCTGCCTCTGCCTCCCGAGTGCTGGGATTAAAGGCGTGCGCCACCACCGCCCGGCCCTTTCTTTTTTTTTAAAGATTTATTTATTTATTATGAATACAACATCCTGCCTCCATGTATTACGGATCTTATTACGGATGGTTGTGAGCCACCATGTGGTTGCTGGGAATTGAACTCAGGACCCCTGGAAGAGCAGTCAGTGCTCTTAACCTCTGAGCCATCTCTCTAGCCCCGCATTGTCCTTTCTAAAGCTATCTAAAACCCTGTCATTTGACAGCAGTACAAACTGAATTGGTTACAAATGCTATAAATTAATGAAAACTAAAAGCTGGTGACAAAGCAGCAAATGGTAACCCTGGAGAGAGGGGCTTCATTTTCAAAAGGGTCCCCAAAGCCCTGAAATATATTCACTCTGGCCCGAGTACCCACAGTAACCACACAACCAATGGCATTCAAAAGGACACACCACAAGTCTACGCTGAGCATGTGCCCCGTCCAGAGACAGGACAGCAGTAGTGGGCAGCTCCATCCCAACGCTTCACAACTCTAATGCTGCACAGCCCTGGCGGGCTTTTCACTGCAGTTAAAGTGGCAACTGTGCTAAGTAAACATCTAAGAAGAGAAAAAGCACGGTGAAGACTGCGTGATGTAATGAGAAGTGTCTACCTTCTGACGTCACACTGAGATCAAACTGCTCTAGGTTTCCGAGCAAAATTCCCTTCAGTGTGACTCCCTGTGGCAGACGAGCCCGGGTGGCCTGGTGAACCGTGGGGGCGGGGCTGAGCCACAGCTCGCTCATACTTAACTCGATGAAGTACTCGGAGCAAATGACACACTGCAGCTCATTCTCCAGCACGTCGTTCACGTGGCTGAGGACTTCCTCCTTCTGGGCCTGCACCTTCTCCTTTTCTTCCTGCAAAGACACAACGCCACCTGTCACTCACCTGGGGAAACGAGCCGGAATGCAGGACGGAGCTGTCTGAGTGGGTCAGGACCCAGGGCAAACGGCTTCCGGTGCAACTATGCAAGAATGAAACTCCCTGTGGTCGCCCTTTCCCAAGAACTGCCTGTTAACACGGAACACTAGCTCCATCTTCTTCCCATTGTTGTGGCCAGTTCCCGCTGAAAGCTAGCCTGCAGTATGACAGCAAGAAGGGGTGAAGCCCACCTAAGGGTGGCTAGGCGCATGGGTGGGACAGGATGAGCGGCCTAGAGCAAACCCTGCTCTTCTCCCACGTGAAGACACGGTGGGGTGCCATCTGTGAGCCCAAGTCCTCACCAGACTCTCACCTGCCAGCACCTTCTTGGAACTTCCCAGTCCGCAGAACTGGGAAAGAGAAATGTCTGTTGCTGATTAGCTACCCAGTTTATGGTATTTTAACTACAGCAGCCCGGAAGAACTAAAACGCTACTTTTTTAGCATCTGTATTACGTGTCCTTTTTGCTCCCTTCCCCCAAATTAGCCAAAGTGGATAGGGGAGCACTAGAATATTCTCTAGCAAGATATGACCTGAGTAATAAAAACTTTTCCCTATACTAAAAATTGACAGGACAAGATAAATGAGCTGTACGGTTCCGTCAGCAGCCGTCTCTCTGCTGACCTATGGCTGGGAAGATGGCCTCCCGCAAGTCCTCTCGGGCTCTAAGCTGTGGGAGACTGGCCACTTCCCACTTCTGTTCCCATACTTTCCGAAGGGTCAGAGGAAGGGCCTCCATTACATTCTTTTGAAATCTTAAGTTAGTTATGTCATCCCCCAAACACAGAGCAACAGGAGCCCAAGAAAAGGAGGAGAATCCACTCAGAAAGTATCTAAGCAGGGGTTCATGTTTCCTCTTTTTCTTTCCTAATCAAAACAGACTATATAGTCACTTAATGGGGAAGGAGTGTCCAGGCTCGTTTGTAACTAATGTCAAGTTCTGAGATGTGCACCATTGGTTGGGCGCCAGGGTCCCCTGAAACTGGAGTTACAGATGGCTGTGAGCCACCATGTGGGGCGCTGGGAATTGAACCTGAGTCCTCTGGAAGAAAGCAACAAATACTCTTCACACCTCGCCGGCCCACTTGGAGGATCTCTAAATGCACGGTTTTAAGGCGTGTGGTAAATCGAAGAGACAGCAAATGGGAGCTGGGGAGACGACCCAGTGGCTTTAACAGCACTGGCCGCTCCTCCAGAGGACCCAAGGCCCAACTCTTAGGACACACAGAGAGTCGACAGCCGTCTGTAACTCCAGTTCCAGAGGACCCAAGGCCCAACTCTTAGGACACACAGAAAGTCGACAGCCGTCTGTAACTCCAGTTCCAGGGGATCCAACACCCTCTTCTGGCCTCTTCAACCCCACTACACACGTATGTGGTGCAAAGACATTCAGGCACATTGCTTGGATATACAAAATTTTAAGAGAGAAAATGAGTTCAAGGCCATTTTTGGCTACACAGTTTAAGTTTGAGGCCAGCCTGTACTATGAGACCCACCTCAAAACAAACAAACAAATAAATAAATAAATAGTTGTGGGAGTCAAGTGTGGGTGGTGTGTGACAGTAATCCTGGAAAGTATTTGCTAGGCAGAAGTGATTGCTGAGCAGCCTGGGATGCACGATAAAACCCTGACTCAGGACAGAGCCTGCCCAGACACCCTAGCACCTACCACAGCCACCAAAAAGGACAGGGACATCGATCCTTCTAGGGAGAAAGTCGCCTTCCTTTTGTTCTCAGCTCCAGTTCGGAGCCTGGAAAAGGAGAGGAGAGTCTGACTTGGACACTCCAGATTAGAAGCTGACCTGTGGGCTGGATGGCTGCCCACAGGTCTCTTCAGCTTGGCCTTTGTGGTATTTAAAAATACAAATACAATAAATACAAAAGTTGAACTTGTACATACATTGAAAAATCATTGATTCCTCATAAACAAGAGCGAGTTTTGGGACAACCAGAGCTGCAGGAAGAAACCCCCTTGAAAAAGGAAACAAAACAAACATACACCGAGAAGAGCTCTGTGACTTGGATGGGGGAGACACATCTTGACAGGCAGCTGCGCAGACAGAGGCCAGGACGCAGGTCCAGCGAGGGAGGAAGCAGGGGCTGCTGCACGCACGGGAAGCGGCTCCCCACTTTACAGGTCACCTCCCCAAGGTAGGGAATAGCCAGCCGTCTGTCTTTATTCACCATGGCAACCGTGCACTCCTGGGAGTGCTGAGCAAGTCCTAAGCCTCCCTCCTCTGTCCAGTACCTTGGTCTGCTCCAATTCTTTGTTCTTGGCTTGAATGATTTTCTCAAAGTCCTTCTTGCTGCGATTTAGCTCTTCCATTAGAGCCCGATGCTGCAGAGACAGCAGGGAAGCCGTCAGGATGAGCTGTGTAACAACGCTCTTGTTAGACACACACACACACACACACACACACACACACACACACACACACACACAGCAAACCTGTCAGTCCTTTGGAACTAACCAGGCCAGGGTCTGCTACAAGCTGGCATGCCCAAGTGCCAACAGCTGACATGCTGTGACTGACTCCTTACACCAAATGTCAATGGCATTGATGGGTTGGGATGTGACCCAGTCACAGACTACACACTTAGTGTGCACGAAGGCCTAGGCTTGATACTGCGCCAGCAAAGGAAAGAGCACAGGGTATGAGGGAAGGAAGGGGAGGGGAGGGGAGGACTGAGAAGCTCAGCGGGTACAGGTATCTGCAATGCAAGCCTGGTGACCTAGTTTGATTCCTGGACTCCACATGGAGGAGAAACCAGCTGCGGAAAGCTGTCCTTCACACACACTGTGAAACATGAGTACCCACACACACACAATTCTTTTTAAAAACGTGCTCATTTCCCTCTTATTTAGTGCTTGTATGAGTGTAAGCCACATGTGTACGGGTACCCTGGGAGGCCAAAAGAGGGCGCCCAGTCTCTGTGAGTTACAGGGGTTGTGAGCTGCCTAGCGTGAGTGCTGGCGACCAGACTCCGGTCACGTCTCCAGCCCCACAGGGGAGTGCTGTGTGCATTCACACACTAAGTAAAAACACAAACAGCATTTAAATACTCAGATGGGAACAATCCTATAAAGTGGAGAAGCTCAAAAAATTCAAATTCCAGAGATACCATTTTCACCTAATTATTTCCCAAGCTATCTGTGCACCTCCCCGCATGGAAATCAGGGCAGGCTCCTTCTCACATAACCGTTAGCAGGGACAGGGCTGAGGTACAGACCTGCAATAAGCAAACAGAAAGATGGGCCCTGAGCGAGTCTGTACGCAAAGCTGCCGCTCGCTGTGCTCAAGGAGGGTTAACCAGCGTGTCACTAACCTTTCGGCTGGACTTGCATCAAGCTACCGAGCATAACCAAGCTCAAAGACGGAGCAAGGGTTTTTGTTACTGTTGCGTGGTTTTGAGACAGGGTCTTGCTCTGTAGACCAGGTTGGTCTTGGACTCACACTCACAGAGATCCAGCTGCTTCTGCCTCCAAGTGCTGGGGTTAAAGGTGTGCGCCACCACGTCCAGCTGGAGCAAGTTTTAAAGGTATACAAGAGCACATAAAAGGCAGTCACGTAAAAGCAGCCACGGGGTCCAACGACAGTTACAAGTGGTCTTTTAGGTGACTTGTCACTATTCTGGTAAGTGGATGCTTTTTGCTTAGACTGTACATTCTCAAGCTGACCTAAAATGCTTGACTGGAACATTCCTGAATGGCTTCTCGATGCCACAGGGCAGGGATAGTGAGGCCCTCAGGCCCAAGCCTTAGCTAACATGTCCTCTCAGCTGTCCTCACTATTCCAGAAAGCTCCCCCATTTCTACAGGGTGTTCCGTCATCACCAGAGTGGCTCCTGCTTGATGAAGAAGATCTGTGTTTCCATGTCTGTGAGGCTGCAAGTCCCCAGGCTGAGGGTGAGAGCATGCCCCCTGCTGTGTCTGCAGGCTCCAGATCACAGAGCAGTGGGGCTAAGAGGCGGAGGCAGCCAGTGGCCCAGTGATGGCTGGCCGTTCCCCACTCGCCAACCACCACAGCCTCTGGCACCGGGAGAGATCAGGTTACCTCCTGCAGAGCCTGGGCCAGCTGTTGCTTCAGGTCCTGTTCTCCTTGCTCTGTCTCCAAACCCTGAAAGGCCAAAGCAGAAATGGAAGGTTTGTTTCCCTGCACGTCGAGGGGGAAAGGGAAGAAAACCCTGTGACACAGCAGGTGTGACAAGGGACAGCACGGGGCAGGGAGTGGCAGAAAACCCCCCCTTTTCCTTCAAGCTGTCGGCACAGGGTGTGAACAGTCTCCTTGCTCCAGCCCCGCACACTCAGGGCTGTCACCTTCAAGCCTCCGGCTGAGTGGCCCTGAAGACCACAGGGCGACAGGCTAAGCTTCTTCTATGACCTAATGCCACGATACTCAGATAAAACTGAGCCACAGGTACAACCCCGCCTCCCCCCCCCCCGGCCGGCACCCACCGCGCTTCCACGCTTCGCCTCTCCGCACTGACCCCCCCTACAAGCCACTTTCTCCCTCGCCTGAGCCTCTGTCGCCTGCCTTTCCTCTACCGGGCATTCAAACTGTCACTCATCTGTGGCCAGCTTCTTCCAAACAGCCTCCATGTCCTCGCTGCCTTAGGAATTACCTACGGGGTGGGAGATCCTGAATCGTTCATAATTTAAGGTGCCACCCTGAAAAACCATTCTTCCAATGTGTTAATGGGCAGCACATCTTGTCTTAAATTACTTAAGGTGGCACATGCCTTTAATCCCAGCACTCGGGAGGCAGAAGCAGGCGAATCTCTATGAGTTCGAGACCAGCCTGGTCAACAGAGCGAGTTCCAGGACAGCCTCCAAAACAATACAGAGAAACCCTGTCTCAAAAAACCAAAAAAAAAAAAAAAAACCAAACAAACAAACAAAAAAACTTAACGATTAAAAACAACACTAAGCATTTTAATGCCAAGCAGATTCCCGAACACAGTGTCGGGCAATACGGTGCTCCAAACACCGAGTGTAAAGCAGGGGCAACAGCTTCTGGAGCAGTGACATGCCAGGGTACACCGAGGACAGAGGGAGACGCAGCTGACACAAAGAACCGGATTTGCTTCTCGAAGTCACGCATACATGACCTGAAAAAAATTGCTAAGCCAGTCTCTCCTGTCTTTAACCCTCTGCTCCAGAAAAAAGAGACTCTGTAACTGTATCTTTAGTACACAGTGTAGCCATACACGCTAACCCCAGGCACAATCGCTTCTGAACACAACTGTCCTTTAGAGAACTCTTGGTGAAGGTGTGATACACCCTCTGTGAACTTAAGAGTTGTCTGGGATGGGCAGGGGAAGCTATGCATGCCCACCACACATACCCTGAAGGCACCTGTGTAATCCACGGCTTTTGCTAATCCTACCAGCTCAAGGACATGGCACAGAGTAGAATGAAGTTCATACATTCTTCAGAAATAAACTCACTATTACAGGCTGTTCCTTGCCCAGAGAGACCCAAGCAGGATAAGAACACCTTTCACCTCAGTGGTTCTGATCCTTCATGGTTCTAAGTCAACAGTACGGAATTCTTGACATTCACCATTACCTGAACAACTGGGGTGGCAATGACAAGGCTCCTGCCACACGGGAAGTGACATTTTAAACAGGGACAGGATCAGCTCCAGTCCAAAGCTTCACACAAGAGCTTCTCATCTAAGCGAATGATCTGGAGAGGAGCACATACTTGGTCCTTTCTCTCTCTCTCTCTCTCTCTCTTTTTTTTTTTTTTTTTTTTTTTTTTTGGTTTTTTGAGACAAGGTTTCTCTGTGGCTTTGGAGGCTGTCCTGGAACTCACTCTGTAGACCAGGCTGGCCTCGAACTCACAGAGATCCGCCTGCCTCTGCCTCCCAAGTGCTGGGATTAAAGGCGTGTGCCACCACCGCCCGGCCTGTCCTTTCTCTTGTACCACTCAGATACATCTTTTATTTCCTAGTGGCGGCTTGTCACTCAGCCAGCTGTGTGCCTTCCCATGGCATTCTGATTGACCAGGATAGGAACAAAACCATCACCCCCTGATGGGGATGTCCTTCTGCATATATGTTTCTCTTATTGGTTGATGACTAAAACACTGTGACCAATAGAGGCAGGGAGACAGGCAGGACTAGGAGACAAGAATTCTGGGAAAGGCAGGGAGAGAAAGCTCACCAGAAGGAGACGACGTGTAGTCACCAAAGGAGTAAGAGGTCGAGACCCTTCTCTGGTAAGATAAGACCATGCGGAAATACTTAGATTAATAGAAATGGGTTAATAATTAAGACAGAGCTAGTCAATAAGAAGCTCTAGCCTTTGGCCAACAGTTTTATAATTAATATAGCATCTGTGTGTTTAGTTTGGGGCAAATCGGCTGAGGGCCCAGACAAAAGAAACGGACAGCAACATCTCCCCACCCAACTCCCATTAGCTAGAGTGAGTCTTGCAGCCAACAAGCTGCCGTGTACAAGGACAGTACAACGAGCTGATTTGCACTTGCTCTGGCCTGTGACTTGGTTTTGACTACATAGAGCAAAGGGGTGAGTCCTGAGGACAGTATGGTTTCGTGAAATCCTGCTCTTGACCCAGCTTCTCCCTGAATTTACCTTGGATCTGAAACACCTCAGCTTTCCACCAGAGATGACCCACATCCCAGCTGGCTTGTACTCCACTTTCCTCATCTTGGCACCCTAACTGGCTCCTGACCTCATCGGTGTGCTGAAACCGTCATCTTTGCAAAACTCCGTCTTGGCTTTCTGCTCCCACTGTCTCCAAAGCTTAGATTAGCATCTGGTCCCTGCTTCAGAGACGACTCTAGCCACCACAAAGTGCCTGCCCAGCTGCGGGTGCGCCTGCCCGCTCCCTCCGGGGTACCTGGAGGTGATGCTCCTCTTCCTGGAACGTCTTCTCCAGCTGCTCCACTCGGGCCTGCTGCTGAGCCTGCTCTGCACACAGCTGAGACTGTAAGTCCTGCAGCTCCTTCTCCATCCGCACGATCCTCTTCAAGTTGCCCTTCCGGGTCTGCCTCCTCACGCTTAGCACAGCCATCTGCTTCTCGTACATCTGGGTTTTCAGCTTCAGAATCCTGGACATGTTCACCTTAAACAGCTCTAGGCTGCTCTGAGACGCTGAGGGGTTGGCGGCCTTCTGCTTCTTAGGGTAGAGTTCGATGACCTTTGGAAGAGTAGGGCAAGCCTGATTCCCGGTGGCCTTGTCACTTGCCTTGAGAGAAGTCACCTTGGGACACAGACACCTCGAGGGCTGGCTCGATGCTTCACCTTTCCCGCGTGACTTCACTGGCTCAGCGGTGGCGTCACAAGAGACTGCAGTTACTCTGCACTTGAGGTCCGAGGGGCCCTCGGCTGTGGGACTCTCTACTCCATCCAGACTGAACTTCCTCTTAGTTCTCAGGTCTTTAGTTCTCCCCACAGCCTGGTTGTTCTTTAGGGCAAGGCGGGGAGACAGCCTCTCCCAGTCTTCCTCGATAACTTCGTATTCATACTCCGCACTCTCCTTGCTTTCCAGGGGCACTCCAAGCTGAATATGGTCTCCCTTTTGGATGCAATAAACCTGTAATGGTGCCAGACGCTCTCTGTTCAGCCAAACACCATTCAGACTCTAGGGAAAAAGAAAGAACAACAAAATAAGCTCCTGATTTCCCTCCTCTTAATGGAATTTCTCTCTTGTTGCTACAAAACCTTCTGCCTTTTCAGAAGGAAAACCCTTGAGAGCACACAGAAATGAAAGGTTCATAAACCACCATCTTTGGGAAGAGCGCTGAGCACACGGCGCTTTGGCTTTCCACCTATATTTCATGTTCATGCCTCCACCGAGAACAGCCTGAGTAACGGGCAAGAATCACCTACTCAAAGCACGAAACGCACTAAAGAAGGCTGGAACTCAATCACTCCTATTGACCTGAACTCCAGGCAACGTTTCAAGAATGGAAAGAATGCAAGCCACAAGGCAGGCTTAGCCGGGAGTCACCCACATTCTGCACGTGGGCACCCAACACACCGAATGAGTATAGCACTTCCCAGTGTGCAAAAGTCAATACTTTGCACTGGGAGGGTCAAAGTGGAGGCGGGGCCTGCCCCAGTAACACCACGTATTGCAGTGCGGCAGACAGAGCTGGAGCCTGGACCTGAGCTCCCAGACCGAAGGCTATGCCTTGGGCTCCTTAGTTACCTGCCTTTAGCAATCCCACTTCACTTCTCTGGCTCAGCCTAGTCTCTAAAATGGGGACGTCTAGTGTCTACCTATCCCGTAGGTATAGGGAGGAGGATGGCGCTCTGGGGTGAGAGCACATGACGACCTGGTTCAGTCCCCTGCACTTCGATGAGAAAGGGCGCCACCCTTGGACGGGACTGCACGCGTCTGCAATGAGTCTCCATCGCTAGGCCTGAGTCACACCGGGCAGCCTTGCTTGCTTTGGGGTTAGTTACTGCGTCTCCTCTGTGCTCGACATCTCACCAGGTGGAGAGACGTCAAGGATAAAATAGACGAGGGCAGATTTTAGCAGCTACCTGTGGGAGGGGCAATGCAAGGACACACCTGCCCATGAAGGGTACCGTGTGGAGGCAGGACAGCGAAATGGAGATGACGAGTCCTAAGATGAGCGTTAGTGCCAACACGATGACACCGGCAGGGCTCTTAACTTCGGGGGAGAGGGCAGAGATGAAACTCACTTCAGAACCGAGACTAACACTGACACACTGGGTTTTACTTTAGTAATCTTAGGAAAGTATTGGTCAATATTCTAAGTGTCTTCAACAACACACAATAGGCAAATGTAAATGGAGAAATCATAAACGTACAGCTAGATGAATCATCCACAAAGTGAACGCGACGCGACACCTCAGTGCCATGTATGACACAGCTTTAAAAAGCACATCACAGCTTCCAAGAAGCCGGTCCCTCCTTCCCTCATTAGGGAACCAGCACCCTGCTGGAGTAATTTCACCTGGTTCTGAACATCACTTAAGTGGCAGCATACAAAACATGCTCCCTGCCTTAGCTTTCCCGTGTTGGGTGTGTGTGTGTATATGAGGCCAGCGAGCAGCACCGGGGATCCCCGCATATGCTCTCTACCACGCCTGACGTGCCCACACTCCGCCTTCATGTATGTCTGCGTGCTGTGTGTACACCAGAAGAAGGCACCAGACCTCCTGGAACCGGAGCTGAGAACAGCTGAGAGCCACCGTGTACACGCTGGGCATGGAACCCGGGTCCTCTGCGAGAGCAGGAAGTGCTCTTAACCACTGAGCCATCTCTCCAGCACCATTCTCCTTACTGTTATCCTTGTTTTGCTTTCCTTGAGACACGGTCTCACTGCGGAGCTCTGGCTAGCCCGCCCGGGACTGGGCTGAAATTCACAAACATCTGCCCGCTTCTGCCTCCCCAGTGCAAGCATTAAAAGCATGTACCACCATACCCGGCTTCCTCTTTTTTTTTTTTTTTAAGATTTATTATTTTGAATTACACGCGTGTGTGCATTTGAGTGCCAAGTGCCCACAGAGGCCGAGGAGCCTTACAGCTGGGCTTACAAGAGGTTGCAAGACACCTGAGGTGGGTGCTGGGAACCGAACTCAGGGAGATGTAGAGGTACAAGAGCAAGACCTCTTACTGCTCGGAGGGCAGCAATCAGGCTGGACTGACAGACAGTGAGTTCTCACCTCTACCCACACTGCCATACACAGCTGTTGACGCGCAGTTTGAACTCAGGTCCTCCTGCCCGCCTGGCAATCTCTCTAGCCCCGACTTTGTTTCTTTGGGATAGTCTGGCTACACAGCCCTGCTTGGCATGGAATCTGCCACTCTCTACCCTCCCAAACTTTGGGACTTCAGGCACATGTTAGCAAGCCCGGCAACTAGCTGTGGAGCCTTTTCACCTGGTATCATGTGTGTGAGAATTACCCATGCTCAATACAGTAGTGTTGACTGCAGAAATACTCTTCTATACCTTCTACCGCGGGTGGGCATTGCAAGTGTCTCCTAGAGACAGAACTGAGCTCCAAATATAAAATGTACAACTGAATGAGTTACGTATTTCAAGGTAGTTGAGACAAGTTACCCTCCCTCCAGAGAGGAAAGATAATCGTCCTTGTCCCTTATCCTTGCCAGTGTACTGTCTCCTGGCTTTCATTTGCATTTCCCTGATCACTGAGTTCCAACAACTTCTCATGGCTATGGAGTAGAATTTGGTACACTCTTTTGTGATGCACCTGCCTTTTAAAGTTTTAGAAACTGGGATATATGTGTCTTTTAAAAATCTGACTTGAGCCGGGCATTGGTGGCGCACGCCTTTAATCCCAGCACTCGGATCTCTGTGAGTTCGAGGCCAGCCTGGTCTACAAAGTGAGTTCCAGGACAGCCTCCAAAGCCACAGAGAAACCCTGTCTCGAAAAACCAAAAAAAAAAAAAAAAAATCTGACTTGAAATCTCTATACGTACACGAACATACTTCATCAATTATGTGCACAGCAAACACTTCCACTCTGGGCTTGTCTTTTTCTTAATGCTATCTTTTGAAGAATAGAAACCCGTAATCTTATTACACTACTATTGAATATGTCTAAGTCATGTGCGGCTCCCCTCCCCCGCTTTGGTGTGAAGCAGCCTCATAGCCGCTGTACTGGGGTCCTCCCGTCTCTCCCTGTCAACTTGCTGTAGGAGTACAGGGATCACAGACACTCGATTATCTTGGATGTCATTTACATGGCTCTGGGAGCCAAATTCTGGTCTTCATGCGTATGTGGCCAGTGCTTTACCTACTGAACCACATCCTCAGCCAGAGCTGGAGAGGTGGCTCAGTGGTTAAGAGCACTGGCTGCTCTGGCAGCGGATCCGGGCTCAATGCCCAGCACCTATAAGGAGTTTCACAACCATGTGTAACTCCAGTTCCAGGGAATCTGATTCCTCTCTGGCTTTCCCCAGGCTCTGCATGCATGTCATACACAGACATGTCGTACACAGACAGAGTACCCACCCGCATAAAACAAAAACCAAGAGTGCCAGGTAAGGGCTAGAACAGCAGACAGAAGTCAGGGCCACTCTGGTTGTTGTTGTTGCTAGCAGACCCGCAGAACTACTCCAAGCAGTGAGACTTAGCCACATAACATACACTCAGAGGACTTGAGATGCCAGGTTCTACAGCACAAAGGTAGAAATCACCAAGTGTCAGATGAGTTTGAGGCTGGCCTGCACTATGTAACAAGACCCCCATTAAAATAAAGGCCCCCATGATGGGGAAGTCCTGTGTGTATGTCAATAAAGCACTGTTGGCCAATAGGGAAGCAAGATAGGTGGGACTAGGAGTCGAGGAGGACTCTGGGTAGGAGAAACACAGGGAGTCACGATGTAGCCTGCCAGAGAAGTAAGATGTCCGGAACTTTTCTCCAGTAAGAGAAATACTTAGATTAACAATTATGGGATAAATACTTAAGTCAGAGCTAGGCAGTAAGAAATAAGCAAGGCCAACAGCTTCATAATTAATACAGCGTCTTGTGTGTTATTTGGGGACTACAATGCAGCAGAGCCCAGGCGACTGGCAAGGGGGAAAAACCAAAGCGGTGGCAAGGAAAAGGCTTCTCTCTACACCCCCATCCCACGGTCTACTCCCATTGCATCCCTGGGTGTCTGTACATCTGCACTTTAGGTACTTCCTAATTGCTGGAGTCTGTGTATTTCCCGCTGGACTGGCGACTTTACATTTCATTTAAAGGGGACAAAGAGATGGCTCAGCAGTGCAGAGCACTTGCTCCTTTTCCAGAGAACCCTGGTGCATAATCCAGGTGGGGCATCTCACAAGTGCCTGTGACTCCAGCTCTGGGGAACCCAAACCTCTCCTCTGCCTCAAGCACCTGTGCACAGATGTGCACACAATACACACAGACACACATGCATGTAAGTAATACAACAATAAAATAAATCTAAAAAGATTTATAGCAGAAAAACCCTTTATTCAGAGTCAAACGTTCCTGAGAACACTAACAGCTAAGCAGGTTTTTTGTTTTATTTTCTATTTTATTTTGTAAGCATTGGTGTTTTGCCTGCATGTATCACTGTGTGATGGTACAGACAGTTGTGTGTATATGTGTGTGAGTTTACATAGGTGTGTGTATATGTGTGGAGGAGTATCTGTGTATAGGTGTGTGTGGATGTGTAGAGGAGAGAAAAAGGGTGTGTGTGTGTGTGTATGTGTGTGTGTAGGGGTGTGTATGTATGTATATGTAGGTGTGTGTGTGTTGAGGTGGGTGTATAGTGTATAAGTGTGTCTATGTAGGGGTGTGTATGTAGATACGTATGTGTGTGTGTGTGTCTATAAGGGTGTGTGTGTATGAAAAAGAGAGAGAGTGTATAGAGGTGTGTATATGTATTTGTATGTAGGTGTGTGTGTGTTGAGGTGGGTGTACAGGTTTGTCTGTGTAAGGGTGTGTATGTGTGTGTGTGTGTGTCTATAGGTGTGTGTGGAAGAGAGGGGGTGCGTGTGTAGGGGTGTGTATATGTATGTGTATGTGGGTTTGTGTGTAGACGTGGGTGTACAGGTGTGTCTGTGTAAGGGTGTGTAAGTAGATGTGTGTGTGTGTGTGTGTAAGTGCTGAAGGGAAGGAGAGCACTGCAGTAGTTCTGTAGGCCCCAGGCCTCCCGTCCTCCATGAGCTTAGGCAGATTCCCAGGATCTCTGACTGCTGACTTTCCAAGGGGCCAGTTTCCAGTTTCCCCAGAAAGATCGTCTACTCTTTGGAAAAGGAGCCGTCACAGCTCCACTGCAGACACTCTCTTCCAGGTAGCGCTCGCTCCAGGCTGCTAGCAATCATCTGGCACAATCTAACTTCCTGCAGCACACAGCAGTGCCACACCTTGCAAAGAGAGCAGGTGGGCGTGGCTACAATTCTGAGTAGTATATGAGAACAACTATCAGGTGTAAAGAAAAGTACATATTTCTGGAATTAAAGATGTGCAGCAGGTGGATCTCTGTGAATTCAAGGCCAGCCTGGTCTACAAAGTGAGTTCTAGGACAGCCAGAGCTACACAGAGAAACCCTGTCTTGAAAAAGAAAAAGAAAGAAAAGGGAATTTAAAATCCCTACAGGGCTGGAGAGACGGCTCAGTGACTAACACTAACATCACACACATTGCTCAGCTGCCGGCACCCACACTCGGTAGCTCTCAACTGCCTGTAACTCTGGTACCAGAGGGTCTGCACAGCCTCTGCTGCCACCCGCACGCAAATTCACATGCCGTCCCCACCAAAGCACACACAACTTTAAATTCATACAATTTTTAAAAACACATAAAACTCAGCCAGGCTGTGGTGGCACATGCCTTTAATCCCAGCACTCAGGAGGTAGACACAGGCGGATCTCTGTGAGTTCGAAGCTTGGAAGTCAGCCTGGTCTACAGAGTGAGTACGAGGTCAGCCAGGGCTACCCAGAGAAACCCTGTCTCGAAAAACCAAAAATGAATAAATAAATAAATAACATACATGAACCTCGCTAGAAGTCACCAGGCTCGCGCGAACGCCATTACCTTGTTGTCCATGATTGTCCACTGTCCCTCGGGATTCTGCTTCAAAACACAGTGGTTCCGGGAAATCATCAGAGGGCATATCTTTGACATCAGCTGGTAGGTGACACCAAATCCTCGTCCTATAGTCACCTGAAAGGCAGAAGCAACGTGAGAGACACGTCAGTCACCAGGCTACACGGGGAGGCTCTTCACCATCTTACCAACCAGCAGGACGCAGGCCCTGACCTAGGGAAGCAGACATCTACAGAGACTCAACTCCTCCTCAGCTGCCACAGGGAGCCACCAGAGAGAAAACCGCAACACTTAACCACGGAGGGCAGTCCCAACAGACACACGGTGGCTCACAGCCACCCACAATTCCCAGCTGCGGGGGAGCCGATGCCCACTTCTGGTACAGTATTACCTCTTGGCCCTGCCCCCGGGCACCAGGCAGACACATAAAAACAATAACTTCAAAAAATAAGAAAGAGTTAATGAACTCTCCGGCTAGCACAGCCCTGAATGGTCACCCGCTTCTACCGCTCCGGTTCCTTCGGTTCATCTCCAACACGGCCGGCCAGCACACATGTAAGACGGGTCCTCGCCTCTTAAACGCCCAGCTTAGTGTCTCCTTCCCTGTGCATTCTTCCGGCTGGGCCCGGTTCTACCCTGAGTCCATCAGGAAATCCCCAGTCTCCTTCTACGCATAGCTGTGAAGTATCCGCCAAGTCACTATTCCTGGCCTCTGTTCCCAGCCATTGTACCTGATTTCCCAGGGCCTGAGTTTGAGTTTGTCATCTCAACAGGTCTATGAGAGGACTCCTGGCTTATTGCTACAGCTGTTATTTAAGGAAAACGATCTAAATTGGTCTACAACATCAAGTCACGGACCGCGCTCCCAGTTCCAGGCACGGCTACGGACTCCTGTGGCTCCAGCTTTCACGGAGCTTCAGTACACTGCCAAGGTGGCCTGAGAAACGATTCCATTTCTCCATCCTCCCCTCCCCCAAGATTACTGCGCTCTCTTTCTCTACCTGACTAGTTGGTAAAAGTGAATTCATATGGAGGACCTGACACTGAGTTCTGCTCATTTTCATCTTGCTGGTTCAGCCTAGCACACTGCCTCGTTAAGACTTTAAACTCCTTAATCTGCCATCAGCGAGACAGAAATAATGTTCCTTTAGCATTAGTTCCAGGAAACTGACATGACAGTTGATGTTGAACCTCCAGTCAGGACTTAAGAAAATAAAATAAGCTGGGTGGTGGTGGCGGCGGCGGCGGCGGCGGCACTCGCCTTTAATCCCAGCACTGGGAGGCAGAGGCAGGCGGATCTCTGTGAGTTCGAGGCTGGGCTGGACTGACAGCCTTCAAAACAATACAGAGAAACCCTGTCTCGTAAAAACCAAAAAAAAAAAAAAAAAAACCACACACACACAAAACCAACCAGCTTGAGTGTCTGTAGAGGACAGAAACAAAGCTCTGGTCCCTGCCTGTCCCACTTCCTGGCAGACCTCTCTAATCACAACATGTAGGGAAAAGAAGTGACCGTCTTTTGAGATTCGGGTCTTGGTTCCCTGATTCTTTTCTGTGTATAAGCATCTCTCAGCGGGGCCACGCTCCCTGAAGCTGTCCTGACCTCCACATATACACCACAGCACGCAGACAACCACATTCATACATACATACACAAGCTCTTCTCAAACGGAGAACGCGCAGGTCTGTGTACTAGCGTGGTGATGGGGGATAGTTAGGAATGGTTACCATCCTCACTCACTGACCATCCCACATTTGGTAACTGTTGCAGAGGAAGCACTCAGCGTTCCACTTGAGGGGGAAATGGCCCGGCTGCCACCGGGGAACACAGTACAGAAGACTAGGAGAGCAAGCACCTTGTCCTGAAACTGTCCCTGACTTAGAAACAGAGAAGAAATGTTCTTTGTCATCCTCCGCACTGTCCTGTCCCAGAATACAATGGTCCCATCTCTGCACCACTGATCACCTGAGAACTCCCACGGGCACTGACTGCTCCACTGACAACCATGTAGCACACTGACATTGATGCAGGTGATCTCCTGGTTCCTGTCCATCTTCACTAGCCCTGCCCCCTCTGCAGGGCTCTGTCTCTGAAATAACCAGGAAGTACGCTAAGCATCCCTTCCCCCTTTCCAAAATGCAGATTCACACACATACACAAATACAAGAGAAAACAAGCAGGTAAAAGACACAGCTTTTTCTCTGCAGGACTGAGGTAGCTGGCCTGCAATAAATCTCTATTCAATTGTGCTTCCACCAAAATCTCTAGATTGGTTTAGAAAGCTTAAAGACACCCATTCGGATAGGCAGTTTAGTACTAAAGGGTTGTCTTTGATACAAGATGAGGATCCATCCGTGTGTATCACCAGGCAGGCTTCTCTTATACACAGGCCACGGAGGGTCAATCCTCACCCTGACTTCAGCATTCTCTTGGTGTGTGGGGGCCTCTCTCCACACAGGTGTGATCCCACACAAACTATGGCACCATGTAGAGCCCTTGCTACCCTAGGGCTGCCAATCTATTCAGAAGTAATAGATTAGTTCACTGAACTGAGCCTCAATGAGTAAGTCAACACTTGACTAAGTTTCCCTACAGGGTTGAGAGAGACTAGTGAATGTTCAGGGGTCAGATTAGGTAAAGCAGGTGAAAAACCAGGACTTGCTCTAGAATATCACCTTAGCCAACCTATAAAGAAGTTCACAGACTCTTTCGTTGACTTCATGTTCAATGACTCTTTCGTTGTAGAAATAACCTTTCCTGGTTCAAGCCATAAACCCCAAGAGCAGAAACTATGTTTGTCCCTCAATTGAAAATCTAACCTTACCAATCCAATATATTTAATTTACACAGGACCACAGGACGTCTTAGTTAGGATGACTATTCTATTTTTATTTTTATTTTTTGGTTTTTCGAGACAGGATTTCTCTGTGGCTTTGGAGGCTGTCCTGGAACTCACTCTGTAGACCAGGCTGGCCTCCAACTCACAGAGATCCGCCTGCCTCTGCCTAGGATGACTATTGTGATGATGAAACCAAAAGCGAGTTGGGGAGAAAAGGGTTTATTCAGCTTACACTCCGTATCACTGCTCACCATCCAAGGAAGTCAGGTCAGAAACTCAAACAGGGCAGGAACCTGGAGGCAGGAGCTGATGCGGAGGAGCGTTCTTACTGGTTTGTCTGTTTTCTTCTGGAGCCCAGGGCCACCTGCCCAGGCATGGTGGACCCACAATGGGCACCTCCCACATCAATCACTAACTAAGACAATGCCTTACAGCTGGATCTAATGGAGGCATTTTCTCAATTAAGATTCCCTCCTGTGGCTGGCAGTGGTGGTGCACACCTCTAATCACAACACCCGGGAGGCAGAGGCACGAGGGTCTCTGAGTTGGAGGGCAGCCTGGTCTACAGAGTGAGTTCCGGGGGCTACACAGAGAAACCCTGTCTCGAAAAACCAAAACGATTCCCTCCAACTCCAAATACTGCACACTTTCCAAAGCCCAAAGGGTTCTGGACAGCCCGTACCTGACCCAGTCCTTCTTCCGGAGCTCGCTGCGAGGATAGCTTTCCTGGAACCAAATCCTAGCACCTCCCTCCCACTCATAACTGTGCCCTTTTTTGCGTTTTAGTTTTGCGTTAATGGAGCTGAACTCTACATACAGTTCAGCTGGTAGAGTGCTTGCCTTCCGGGGGCCTGGGTTCGATTCCCCAGCCCCAGCCTTTAAGCCTGCATTATCAAACACTGTACATAGTTTCTGGAGAGAATTGCTGTCCCTGACCCACCCCAACGCGCCAATTCTCCTCGGAGGTGGAATGGAAGACTTTATTTTATAAAGTTGGGAGGATTTTAGGCGAGTCACCCTTAAACTCGCGATCGCACTCAAAATCAACTCCAGACGCCCCCCGCAGCCATCCAGGCGGATCAGTGGAGACGCCTCTGCCTCAGTTTCCTCGTCTGAACGGGGTCATCTCAAGGCTCTGAGAGACACTAACAGGGACCCTGCTTCGCTCGGCTCCAAGCTTCTCAGCACCGGAGGACCCCGCGTCCGTTACGGCGGCTCTGGCACGGGGCGCGCTCCCGCGCAGCCACCCACCAACCCCGGCCTCTCAAGCCTCGGCCTCGCCTGGCCTCGCGGCCCGCTCCCGCCAGGCCCTAAGGCGGCCCGATCTCGCTGCCACCCCGGTGCCTCCCGCAAGCCGGATCGGCGTGGCTCCGCTCCCCAACCTCCACGCTCCCGCAGCGTCGTCCCCCGGGCCCCCAAGCCCCGGCCGCCCGTCCTCACCTCACTCGCAGCCTCCAGCTGCAACCACTCGCGGTCCATCCCCAGCCGCCGCAAGCACCAGCTCCGGCCGGCCGCGAGCTGCCCCGAGCCCAGGGGATCGGGCTCGCCCATAGCCCGCTCGGCACTGGGGCAGCCAGCGCTCAGCAACGAGCCAAACTCCAGCCTTCTTCCCGGGTCCGGCCCCGCACCATAACTAAAAGGAGCAATCGCGCAGGCAGCCGCCGAGTCGACGCGAACGCGAACGCGGACCCGCCCCTGGGCCTGCGAAGGCGGGCGGGCAGCGCGCGTGCGCAGAGAGAAGACCAACCGGGGGCGGCGGGCGGGGAAGGGCGGAGGCACGGCCAGGAGGGCGGGCTCAATGCCCGAGCCGAGGGCGGTCGGTGATGAAAGTTCCGGGGCCAGCCAGGGCTGCTACCTAGCGGCGAGAGGCATCGCCTCCCAAATCCAAAGCCTTGCGAAGTCGGTGATCGGGCTTGGAGGACCGCCCGGCGAGTGAAGCCGCCCGCTGCCAAGTGCGGTCCTCAGGCTTCACCTACGTGGTGGGTGCAGAAGTCTGATCCCTCAGGTCGGCCTCCGACCTCCACTTGCGCACCGCGGCAGGTTTGTGTGTGTGTACACAAATAAATACTTAGAAAGTACGATAAATAATAAAAATGAGACACACTGCCGCTCTGCGTGGGTTCGTGAGGATAACGTGACTGTCTCCCACAGTCTAATGCCTTCCCCTCCTTGCCCTCCAAAGCCACCACCCCAGGTCTCCTATTTTCCACCCCACCCCTCTTTTCTTTGGCAGGGTGTGGTGGAGGTAGAAACAGAAAGACGAAGGATTCAAGGGCATCCTCGGGCTACACGGTGAGTTCAAGCCAAGCCTGGGATGGGAGACCCTATCCACAGAACAAGCAAACAAACAAAACTGCTTTATAACGACATTCTGATGATGCCTATAGCCGTGTTGTTTAAAGCTATAGCCTACTTTGGGCTTGAAGTGGGAGGTGCTGAAGATTGAACCCAGAGCCAAGAGGATGGCAAGGATGTAATGTGCTCTGTAGCTAAATTATATCTCCATTACGACCCACTTTTGAGTAACTTTTAAAACTCTGTTCATTTTAAAGCTGGCTTGGTCTGTTCCCTACTTAGCATCTAGTTTTTGCATGACCTCCTTTGTTACTGAATTTTTAAAAAAATTATACCAGGCTGATCTGCAGAGACAACACACGGTTCCCCAGGACTACATGTGTGAGACTACAGACTGAATGCGGGCATGAAGGAGCCGGGGAGAGGATGGTATTAAAATGTTGTAAAAGTAGATTATAGCCAGATTGAGAGTTGCACAAGTGTACAAATTTACTGAAGTGTTGTGGAATAATCTTTTTGTACACTGTGAAGATGTGTGTCACTCCGATTAGTTTAACTAAAAAGCTGAACAACCAATAGCTGGGCAGGATTTCCAGGCACAGAGAACGATGGGGAGGACCGAGACACCAGGAGACACAGAGCAAGGAGGATGAGCAGAACAGAGATGACATAATAAAGCCATGAGGCAGAACGTTAATTAATAGAAATGGGTTAAAGTTATAAGAGCTAGTTGGAAACAAGCCTAACCTATCGTCCGAGCTTTCATAATTAATAATAAGTCTCTTGTCATTTATTGAGGAGCCTGTGGTCCCGATGAAAAAGGCCGGCTACACTAACGGTCACTGACACGCACACTTCTAACCAATGACCTCTGCAGTGTGGAAATTACCCTCAAAGTGATTAACACTTAAGACTGCGTGCTGCTCTTCCATTCCCAGTATCCCCAGTTACATTCCCAGAATCCACCCAGGACAGCTCACAACCACCCGGAACTCCAGCTCCACAGAATCCGACTGTTAGTATTCAGGCGTCTGTACTGGCCTGCCCTTGGGGTCCTGACAGGACACGCCCTCAGCTGCACCACTAAGAGAGCCACTGTGCACATTCGCTCGCAAGGCTCTCTTATAAAAGGTGTAAAAGGTGGACAAGCCCACCTCCTATCTCTTTCCCTCCCTCCCTCCCTCCCTCCCTCCCTCCCTCCCTCCCTCCCTCCCTCCCTCCCTCCCTCCCTCCCTCCCTCCCTCCCTCCCTCCCTCCCTCCCTCCCTCCCTCCCTCCCTCTCTCTCTCTCTCTCTCTCTCTCTCTCTCTCTCTCCTCCTCCCTCACTGCCTCTCTTGTCCCCCCCCCCTTCTCTCACCGCTTTCCCATTCCTTCCCCCAAGAAAAAAACTCTCCACCGGAGCTCTGTCGTGTCTGCCCCACCCCACCCCTGCCGCTTTTTTAAAGAACCACACCACCACCCTCTTCAGACCTCCGAGGGCACCTGCATTCATATGCATAAAGACGCACATACACCTTTTGATCCCAGCACTGGGAAGGCAGAGGCAGGGGGACCTCTGTAAGTTTCAGGCCAGCCTGGTCTACAAAATGAGTTCCAGGACAGGCTCCAAAGCTTCACCACAGAGAAACCCTGTCCAAAATAAATAAATAAATAAATAAATATACAATCTTCAAAATCTCATTGTTATTTAAAGCAGTTTTCTTTTTTTTCTTTTTTTTTCTTTTTTTCTGAGACAGGGTTTCTCTGTAGTGTAGCTTTGGAGCCTATCCTGGAACTCGGACCAGGCTGGCTTTGAACTCACAGAGATCTACCTGCCTCTGCCTCCTGAGTGCTGACATTAAAGGGGTACACCACCATCACCCAGCTAAAGCAATGATTTTCAACTCTGGCCTTTTCCATACATGCCCTGATCCCTTGCTGGAATGCTAGAATACTAATAGAAGCTATTAATGATGGTGCATGCCCCATGGCCTTCAGGGGTATGTCGTCGGGGAGCAGGGATGCTGAGCCCGTCATTTGTGAAGAGTGGCTCAGAATGCCCTACAGACAGACACCAAGCTCCATGCATGTGTGTGCAGAAGGTTCCTATGTAAAACTGCAGAACTGGGGGCTGGAGAGATGGCTCAGAGGTTAAGAGCACTGGCTGCTCTTCCAGAGGTCCTGAGTTCAATTCCCAGCAACCACATGGTGGCTCACAACCATCTGTAATGAGGTCTGGCGCCCTCTTCTGGCCTGTGGACATACATGCAGGCAGAACACGGTATACATAATGAATGAATGAATGAATGCAGAACTGGGGTTGGGGATCCAGCTCAATGGGATGTGCGGTGGAGAAGGAGAAGCCGGAAGCTCACGGAGGTCAACAGCAACAAAAGGTCTCAAGGTGGGCAGGGGAGGAGTGACGGCTGAGGTGGTCCTCTGATTGTCACCCACGCTGACACACACACACACACACACACACACACACACACACACACACACACACACACACACGGCCAAGCCCTCCCTTGAGTCAAGGTCATCCAACAAACTCAACTTCACTGATACCTCTTCAGTGGCTCCTACGACTTCCGTTATGCCTCTCTTCAAAGCCCTCCGTTAGCCTCAGTCCCTCTCCCGCAGACCCCCGAGTTGCAGACCCCCGAGTTGCAGACCCCCAGGTTGCAGACCCCCGAGTTGCAGACCCCCGAGTTGCACACCCCCGAGTTGCACACCCCCGAGTTGCACACCCCCGAGTTGCACACCCCCGAGTTGCACACCCCCGGGTTGCCCGTGCCGCACCTCCCCTACTGACTGCTTGTCCCTTTAACCATCCAAGTCCCCACTTGGGAGTCATTGCTAAGCTCTCTCAACCTTCCCAGACCACCCCTCACTGTTTGCCAAGAGCCCCCAACCATTCACGTTCCTAAAATACCCCAATTTCAGAGCCCACCTAAACACCCCAGGAAAAACTATTCAGATGTAACGGAAGCCTCTCAGATTATATTCTCCCCAGCACAACTGGATCCTGCTTTCACGTAACAGTCGGTCCCCAGTTAATCTGATCTGGACAATCTAAATGTTCCTGGTGCCCCTCAAGAACTCTCAAACAGCCGGGCGTGGTGGCGCACGCCTTTAATCCCAGCACTCGGGAGGCAGAGGCAGGCGGATCTTTGTGAGTTCGAGGCCGGGCTGAACCGATAGCCTCCAAAACAATAAAAGAACTCTCAAACAGACTGCAGAGACGTATCCTGCCAACCATCAGCCTACGCTGGGTGGGATCTCTCCCCCATTTCCTGGTTCCCTGGTCTTGGGACTCTCTTCCCAATACCATGACCATGAACCTAACAGTTTCAAATGTACACCCAAGATAATATTTTCTTTTCTAAACTGCTTAACTTCACATCGGTCCCAACAGATTTTAACCAGCTACAGACTTCTCCATCAACTCCAGCGCCAGCATCAGTGTCTCCCCAGAATCTCCATCCTGGTCTAGCCTCACAGACTATACTTCCTAGCCTCGGATGGTCCTGGACGTGGACTGACACAGCATGCTCTTCCGGGCCTTGACCAACAACTCAGCCTCCTTGGGTCCCCTAACAATGATGCCCCAATGTCAGCAGGAAGCAGACAGAGAGAGAATGCCACCCACTTACCCAGCCCCCAGCGACCCCGATAATAAAACAAGGTTAGAATGAAGGGGTTCTAGCCCACTCGAGTGGCTCTGGCAGACCTTACCCTCCTCCCCCATCCCCTCTGCCTTGGTAAAAAATGTTAGATTACATTCCTGAAGCTGCCACCATGGTCCATTCGGCCACTTCCTCCTCCTGAGACTGACTATCAAGGTCCAGCTATCAAAGTATTGAAATCCAGCAATCAGAAGCTCCCTTTAGCTCACGTAGTTAACATGGCCAATTAAAATTAAACATCTCGTCCTCACACAGGGTTCCCCTTTACCTTCATAAACTGCCATTTTCCTACGGGCCATGTCTGTCTCCTCTCTATCCAGAGGCAGTCCTTTGTCCCTGCAGGACAGATACCCCTGTCCCCTCCCTGTCTTAGTCTCTTATTCCCTGCCCTCTGTCCCCCTGGGAAAATAAATCTCCTTTGTGCTGAGAACCTGGCCTTGGGCATCCTGAGCTGATACTTCTCCTTTCAGATAATCGTTCCTTGAGCCATTTCCGAAACCCCAACTGATTCCTGCTGTATCCTTTGCAGAACTGGGTGGACTCCAGTATCCAGAACAGAAACCTGGGGATGGAGAAGACAGCTCCAAAGGGACCTGCGTCCCTGCTGGGGTTTTTTGTTTGGTTTGGTGTTTTTTTTTCTTTTGTTGTTGTTGTTGCTTTTGAGACAGGGTTTCTCTATTTTTTTAAAGACTTTTATTTATTAGGTAAACAGTGTTCCGCCTGCATGTCTGCCTGCACACTAGAAGAG